CGGGCGGGGGGGGGGGGGGGGGGGAGACGACAGAGGCCGGCAGTGACGTTTCCTCCCCTCCGAAAGCCTCCCCACGCCAGCTGTGCCACTGAGGGCTGGGGTCGGACCCACCACACCCGGGCTCGAAAGGATGAAGCAGGGTGTGTGTGTGTGTGTGTGGCTCCACCCCAGGGCTGCCGTGTGACAGGCTCCCAGGATCACCCACCCAGGGCTCCCAGCAGCACAACAGGCCGGGGACGGGAGCCTCCCCAGAAGACACCTCCCGGGAGGGAGGGAGGGAGGGAGGGAGGGAGGAGAAGCCCCTCCCCCTTACCTGCAGCAGGTGGTAGCCCAGCAGGAGGAGGTGCCGATCACGCATGGCTCGAGAGCCCACCAGCACAGCCGAATTCTGGCAATAATGCCACTTGTCGTTGACAGACAGCACTATCCTGGGGGAGGAGGCAGAGGAGGGAGCCATCTGTGGCAAGGGCGGGAGAGGAGAGAAGCGGGGCGGAGGCAGCTGGGAGCCTGGAGGAAACGGAGGCGCAAAGGGCTGGCAGCCCCCAGGAACCCTCCGCTCAAGGTGCGAGGTCCCCACCAGTACCTGTGGATCTCCTCGGCCGCCTCCATGCCGCCGGGCACAGCTCCTGGGGTGGCCACCGGGGCGGCCGGAAGGCGTCGCCTCTCCTCTGGCAGGTCCTGCTGCCGGGGCTCCGGGACCAGGAGGGGGGCAGTGGAGCGAGGGGCCGCCTCAGCTGGGCTGCCTGCGGGGCCTGGGCCGGGGTCCTCCCTCAGGCGGCCGCCGCAGCCCCGGGGGGCCAGTGGGCACGGGCTCCCTTCTGGCAGGAGCAGCCTTCCTGCCGAGGGACTGCCCGGCCCCGGCTGCCTGGTGAGGGACCCACTCGGCGTATCCGAGGCGAGGGCCTGGAGATCAGGGACGTCCAGGGGGGCTGCAGCCTGGGGGGTCCATGGGAGGACGGAGCCCGAACGGGAGACCTCCAGCAGGATGTCTGCAGAGAGGGAGAGAATGACAAGGCCGGGCAGACCACCGGAGGACGTCGGGGCGGAGGAAGGGCCTGGCCACCACACAGCCCTCCCCCCCCCCCCCCCCCCCCCCAAATATCAAATCTCTGGAAATTTAGGAGGCCAGGTGCGGGGACTGCATCTTTTTCCTGGGGAAAAATAGACCTAACACGTTGGGGTCACTGAGACGGATAAAACACCAGAGTTCTTTATCGACCTTTTTTCACTCCTTTTCTCTTTTAAAATCATGCTATCAGCAGCCGTGTGTTGGGAGAGAGAAAAGTGTCCCAGCTGATGCACACTCTGGGAGAGAGAAGAGGGGAGGTCAGAACTCCTGAAGTTTAGTCAAAACTAAAACAAAGCTCTCAAAGCCTTCACGGTGGACCTGGCTCATCAGACTGATTTTCTGAGAAGAGAACTGATGAGAAGCTACATAACCACCCCCTAAATAGGAGCCAAGCTGGATGCCGTGCTGGAGGTGTGCCCCCCCCCGGCCTGTGGGTGAGGCCAAAGCCAAATCACCCCCTAAACAGGGGTCAACTGGACAAGCACAAGAGGCACTGGGAGGGGGAACATCCCCCCAAGAGGCCCTCGGGAAGCAGGGTGACCGGCACAGTCACGTGCTGCCCGGGGCTTCTTCAAAGCGGACCCTCTGGGTACAGAGGCAGCGCACCTCTGACTAGACGAGGCTTGGGTAGGACCACCAGTGCCCCCACCCAGAAAGGTCTGCCTCGCGACTCATGGAGAGACCCGGTGCCAGGCCGGGCAGGCCCACCGTGGTCTGACCCCACAGGGCTTCGGCCCTTGTTTCAAGCACGTTTCCGGGGCAGAACCCTGCCGGAGTGAAGCCAGCCTGCGGGCCTCTCCCGCACCTGAGTGCCACTGCTCCCTGCCCACGGGCTCTGGAGACCGTCCCGGCACCTTTCCCCCTTCCGAGACTCGTCTCTCACCTGCGCAGTACCCCGGGGGCACCACCGCGTCCTGCCGATAGCCTTCTTCCCCCACGAGCTGCCGGAGAGCCTCTGCTACGAGGCCTTTGTAACTAGGGAAGGAACGGGGCAGAGGTAAGTCACCAGAGCAGAGAGCCAGAAGGCGCAGGAGCCCTGAGCCCACAGGAAGGAGGCCGGGTGGGTGGGTGGGGGCCCACTCTCAGCCAGGGAATCAGACCGCCTCCTCGCCTGGGTCAGGGACCTACAGAAGCAGTCACAGTCCCTTGGCTCAACTCTGCCCCCACCCCAGAACTTCCTAACTACTCGAAATCGCTCTTGCTAAAAATATTTGGGCATGGCTCAGTGGAGGGTGTGAACGGTTCCCCCTTCTCTCTCACGTATTTTTATTTCATTAAAACATTTGTCATCCCACTCAGGGCCCCCAAGGTCATGAACATTAAACATTAAAACAAGATGGAAAATACACATAAATATATACAAGCCACCAAAGACACATACATGGGAGAGGGTGTGTGTGTGTGTGTGTGTCAGGGAGAAGCAGAAAGGGAATGGCAGACAAAACGGCTAGCAGAAGCTGATGCCACGAGAAGAGAGAGGTGTGTCCCTGGGGGACACCCAAAGCAGTAAGATGGCTCGAGTGGATGAGAAGGTTCACACGGGAGAACACAGCCTCTGGGTCAAAGAGCCCCGCTCAGTCGTCTCTCTCAGCCTCCACTCACAGAAGTGGCTTTCGAGGGCCAGGAGCCCCTCTCCATTCCTGCTCGTATCTGAGAAAGGGAACCCATGACCCTCAACCGCTCCTGCCCCGAAAACCTCGCTGGTCTCCCACGTGTGCTCCGGGACTTGGGGTTGGCCGTTCCGCTGCAGACCGACACGGCTGTGCCCTCGGGGACCCCCTGCCCATTCAGTGCCCGTCTTCCCTAAACCACCAAGGAGCTCTCCCTGGGGGTGCCCACGGCCGCCCCCTCCCCTGGGCCTTCCCGTCGCACCTGTATTTGTGGTTGGCCTCGTCTGCAGTGAGAGCACCGTCAAACATGCACACACGGTACTGGGGGCCAAGGCGGGGGCCATCGTATCCTTGGACCTCCAGGGCAACGGCCGCGTCCAGGAGGGAGAGGTAGCGGCGCACGATCAACCCACAGGGGCTACCTGTGAAGGAGAGGGATGCGAACAGGAGTCAGCTCATCTGCCACACAGCAAGCCCCTCCCCCAATATTTTTCTGATTGGAAGAACTGAAAAATCTGGAGGACTCAGGGGCAGAGACTTCTATGAAACATTTTCTCTTTTAGAATGAGTACAATCCTTAAGGCAAGGGTTTTCACACACTAAATGTAGACCATGAAATGACTTTTTCAGCAGAGAAATTAGAAAGTTTGGTGAGCATTGGGGGGGGGGCCTCTTGTGCTGTAGAAATATTTTCAGATGGATTTTTTTGCTTAAATGTGAATAGTTTTAGCAACAATTAATATATGATAAATGCAAATACATTATTAAAGGATTCTGTTTCCAGTGTTGCCAAGAGATTTCGTCCCAAATAATACACATTCTTTGAACTTCTACGGAATCAGCTTTCATTTCTTCCTACCTCTCAGATGTCAATAATTAAAATTACAGTTTGCATCTCTTGGGTCCACTTTCCATTTTTATACTTCTAAACTCCATAAATATACCAAATAGTATATGTTTTCCACTTATATGTTATTTGAAGGAGAACATTAATCCGGGAGAACCGGGTTTAATTCCCCGCTCCTCCTCCACTTGCAGCTGCTGGATGACCTCGGGAAAGCCATAGTTCTCTCAGAGCTGTCCTTGAAAAAGAGCCGTTTCTGTCAAGAGCTCTCTCAGCCCCGTCTACCTCACAGGGGGTGTCTGTTGTGGGGAGGGGAAGGGAAGGAGTTTGTAAGTCGCTCTGAGACTCCCTTGGGTAGTGAAGGGCGGGGTATAAATCCAATCTCTTCTTCTTCTTCTATTATATTATTTGTATTATAAATGATGTTGTTTATGTTTCTCTACGCAGCCATGCCTAATGCTAGCAGTCCACAGATTATGCAAAACTGAATTATTCAGGTGGATGGTTTATAAAAGCAACAGAATTACACTGTAATGCAACAGTTCAGGAAGATGCTTTGATAAAGAGAAAGGGACAGTGGACTCTACTACTGTGTACACTACAGACGGCCTGTCGCTGAAGGCATTACCCTGCTACATAATTTTTATAATTTAATGGATCATGTTACAATTTATGCTTTGTCTTAGCTTTCGACAATCCTAATCCTATTACACTGCTTATTGTTTACTGAATGTCTCGCCCTGCCGACTGTATTGTTACACTGCATCATTCACCTTGGATGATATTAAGAAAGATGAATTAAAAATTATATATATATATATATATATATGTTTAGGTTTGATTAAAAAAAAAAAGTAGGTAAAACATTTCATCTCCCCCCACCCCCGAAATACCCCTTTTTCCTCCTACGGCTTCCAAATTTGCAGAAATTTCACACCACCGGAAGCTGCTCCACCCCTCTCTTCCTACACTTACTGGTGACACTGTCAAGGAAGCTGGGAGAAAAGACCTTGTGCAGGACGGCCAGTGGGAAGTGACGCAGCTGGACAAGTGACATGAGGATGTTGACTGTGGCCAGGGGAGAAGCAGTCGCCTTCTGCACAAGCACCGACTCCAGCTGAGGGAAGAGCTCCAGGTGGTTGGAAGGCCGATAATTTGTGCGGCTGAAGGGGAAGACTAGCTTCTGGATCACCTGCAGCAGGGAACCAAAAGGGAGGCCCGGCTCAAGAAAAAGCAGGAAACCCCCCCCCCCATTCTGGCCCCCTTTTATTGTCTGAGGCCTGTAATCCCACAGTCTGCAGACTGCACTACGTTGGCCTGGCAATTTGCTGCTCACACTGCCATTCAATTTTGTATTTCTAGTCCTGTTGCATTGTTCATTTTGTATCCTGTGTAATATAATTATGAACTATTTTTCCTCGCTCCACTTTCTGCATTCTGGAAACATTAAGGGAGCCAGTTTGGTGTCGTTGTTAAGAGCGCGGACTCTAATCTGGGAGAACCGGGTTTGATTCCCCACTCCTCCACCTGCAGCTGCTGGTGTGAGCTTGGGTCAGTCACAAGTTCTTTCAGAGCTGTTTTCTCAAGGGCAGTTCTGAAGAGAGCTCTCTCAGCTCCACCTACCTCCAATGCTCCCTCTAAGTTCAGGTAGTGAAGGGCGGGGTATAAATCCAATATCTTCTTCTTCTAAGTTGTGGAACCTTGTGTGCAAAAATTCTACTTTGTGAGCTACTGGCATGAAAGTTGTGAGTGAGCGATTTGGCTACTGCATAAATTAGTTTGCTCTGGAGCCCCATCCTTCCTGAGCTGAGACAAAAATGTGTGAGCCGGAGGCTAAAAAACTGAGCTAGCTCACACTAGCTCAGCTTGGAGGGAACACTGCCTACCTCAGTGTGTCTGTTATGGGGAGGGGAAGGAGACTGTAAGATGAGACTCCTTCAGGTAATGGAGGGCGGGGTCTAAATTCAATCTCTTCTTCTTCTTCTAAATCTCAGTGAAAAAGGTGGGCAATAAATAAGTCTCCTCGACAGTAAGCCTCCTGGGGTTTCCCATATTCCCAATTTGTCACTGGATTTGTTTCCTGCCGTTAATTTACCCCCCATTCTATCCTGGTAGCCCAAGGTGGTCAACAGCAAATGACCAAAAGATATGTGTCACATGTGTTACCCAGAAATTTGTTGATCTTAAAGGTGCCACTGGAACTTTTCTCACCTGTAAGTACACTTTGCACATGAAAGCTTACCCTTTGAATAAAACTTTGGTGGTTTTCAAGGTGCCACTGGACTCCAACTCTGTTCTGCTGCTTTAGACCAAAACAGCTATCCACCTGAATTTTCCTTTATTATCTGTATGCAAATTTGCTATTTACATGTCTTATCAAATATGTTATTCCAATCTTAACTGTATTTATTGCTCAGTTACTTGTGCATCTTGACACTAATTGGGTCTTCCTGGCAACTAAACCCCCCTACCTGTAGGCACCTATATATGCAGTCTCTTTGTTTTCGCACGAACCCACAGGGTGGTAGAAGAAGAGATTGGATTTATACCCCGCCCTTCACTACCCAAAGGTGTCTCAGAGCGGCTTACAAACTCCTTTTCCTTCCCCTCCCCACAACAGAGAGACACCCTGTGAGGCAGGTGGGGGTGAGAGAGCTCTTGACAGAAACTGCTCTTTTTCAAGAACAGCTCTTATCAGAACTATGGCTTGCCCAAGGTCATCCAGCCAGGTGCAAGTGAAGGAGGAATGGGGAATCAAACCCGGTATCCCAGATTACAGTCCGCGCACTTAGCCACTACACCAAACGGGTAGGTGTCTGCATTGACTCTGCTGCTGCTAGGGGTGCCGATTCAGGCTTGTAAAATTCCCAGCGGGTTTTTTTTGGGGGGGAGCGATGCCCCAGAGCCAGCACCTCGCTTAGGGTTGTAAAGCAGGACCCAACAGAACTGGTAACTATGTTAATATATTGGACATAGGTCCTCGTCGCTGGAAAGAACTACTTTGGAAAGAGAATTTTGTGGAATACTTCATTGTGTATCAGAAGATTCCTATTATTGCGCTTTATGGTGCAAGAGTTACACTCAGGTACAGTACACATTGCATCTGTCAGATGTATTGACATGGCTACCAGCTCTCTTGTGTCCTGCTTCAGGGCTCTTTCCCGTTGTTGTAAGGACTATCCTGCCTTGTGGCCTCCTTTTCTGTCTACCACCGCGCCCTTGCCGCTTCCTCCACGAGACAGGAGCGGGGTGATCCAGCGGGCCCGTCAGGCTGCGGCCCCTTCTGGGCGGGCGGGCGG